TTTCCTTATGCTGCACTTTATTTTGTAACTCTCTATTTGTATTTCTTAATCCCTTTGTCCTTTTTCATCGACCCCCAACAACCCTCCCATCTAGTAGCCCTCAAAATATTCTCTACATTTATAAGTTTATCTCCATTTTTGTTTATTTTGTTCTTTAGATTCAACATGTATGTGAAATCATGTGATATTTGTCTTTCTCTATCTGACTTATTTCATTCAGCACAATACCCACTAGGTCCATCAAGGTGATATCTTCTTCCATTCCCTTCCTTTTTGTCTGTGTGTGTCTTTTAATCTAAAATGAGTCTCTCATAGGCAGCATATGTAGGGGTCTTATTTTCTTATCCATTCAGCCACCCTATCTTTTGGTTGGAGCACTTAATTCTTTTCCATTTGAGGTACTTGATGGGAATGTAGTTATTACCATTCTTTATTCATGTTTTTAATACATGTTTTTTTCTTCTTAAAGAAATCATTCCAACATTTCCTGTAGTACTGGCTCGATGCTGATAAATTCCTTTAGCTTATTTTTGTCTGGGAAGCTCTTTATCTTCCTTCGACTCTAAATAGCTTTGCTGGATAAAGTATTCTTGATTGTAGATCTTGGGTTTTCATCACATTCAATATTTTGTGCCAAGCCCTTCTGCATGGTTTTTTTTTTTGAGAAATCAGCTGCCAGTCTTACAGATGCTCCCTTGTAAGTAACTAACTGCTTTTCTCTTGCTGCTTTTAGATTCTCTCTTTGTATTTATTTAACCTTTGGCATTTTAATTATGATATATTTTGGTGTAGGCCTCTTTGGGTTCCTGGCTTTTGGGAGTCTCTGAGCTTGCTGGGGTTTTATGTCTATTTCTTTCATGAGGTGAGGGAAGTTTTCAATCATTATTTCTTCGAACACCTCTTCAATTTCTTGTTTTCCTTCAGGTATCCACATGACACAGATATTTTTACATTTAATTGTGTCCCGTAGGCTCCTTATTTTATTATTATAGTCTTGCCATTTTTCTTGCCATTCTGATTGAGTGTTTTCGGCTTCTCCATCCTCTGTATTGGTGGTTCAATCCTCTTCTTTATCCACTCTGTTTATTCCACCTAATACACTCTTTATCTCAGATAATATGTTCTTCATTTCTGACTGGTTCCCTTTTATAATTTCCATTTTCATTTTTATGTTTTTTACTTCTTTTTTAGAGTTCTCACTGAATTCATCTACTCTTCCCCTAAGTTCATTGAGCATCTTTATAACCAGTGTTATGAACTCTGCATCTGTTAGATTGCTTGACTCCATTATCCCTGGATCTCTGTTCTGTTCTGTCACATGATTTCTGCTTCTTTGTCTTTCCATTTTGGCTGCCTTTCCATGTCTGTTTCTATGTACTAAGAGAAGTTCCTAAGTCTCTTGGTCTTATTAGCGTGACTTTGTGTAGTAGATGTCTAGTAGCACAGTCTTGAGAGGGGTTCAGCTGCAGGCCAAGTTTAGCCCCAGCCAATTCCCCTCTGGGGCCACTTTTTAAGATTTAGCAAGCAATCTACAGATGCTTGCTTATAGTTGCTTCAAGAGGCCATGCCAGAAACTGCAGTCAGCTGCCACCAGTGTGAGTTTTGGAGTTGGGTCAGCAAGGAGCACTGGACTTGCCAAGAACACAACTGGATATGGCTTAGGTGGGGCTGCGAATTGGGAGAGGTGGAGTTTCAGGGAATCTTCTGGGTGGAGGGACCTCTGTTACCCAACTCAATGAGGTTGCAGCTATGGCAGTGGCTGAATCCACACTGAGAGTGAGGAGAGCTCAACAGAGGAACAATGGATACCGCTGGCACATCTGTCCAGAAGAAGCCTCACCTCTGACCCTCACTCTGACAACTCAGTGTCCCCCCGTAAGTCCCTGGTGTTCCCCCACCCCCAGCAGCTGACTTGGCTTTGGTGCTCAGAGCAAGAAGGCCTGTTGCCGAAGAAGTCCACGCAGGGACATGGCCCCTCTAAGGGGCTTCTGCAGCTGCTGACTGCTGCTGCAGCCACTGTCCCACTCAGCTGCTTGGGACCGGGCAGCCTTGTGTATTTGCCCTGCTTCCACCTTTTATTATTGCAGGGTGATTTCTTATTTATCTCCCCAGTTGTAGTGCTTCTGGTTCATCTAGATCCCAGCTGACTTAGCCTGCTGTTTGCTCCATGTTTCTATCACAACTTTGATTTGACTGCAAAGCTTCTATCATCTATGCCATTTTTTCCCCTTCTTAATAATACTGGTTTTTATATTTGTCCATGTTTTTACCTTCTAGAGAACTTTGCATGTTCATATGATTTGAGTTACTGTTTAGCATCCTTTCATTTCAACTTGAAGGATTTTTTCTGATATTTCTTGTAGGCTATGTTTAGTGGTAATGAATGTCTTCAACTTTGTGTGTGTGTGTGTGTGTGTGTGTGTGTGTGTGTTTACAATATCTTGACTTCTCATTTTTGAAAGGTATTTTTGCTGGTTATAGAGTTCTCATTTGATAGTCCTTTAAATGTATCATTTTTTGCCTTTTCTGCCCGGAAACTTTCTTCTGAAAATTTCACTAATAGTTTTAAGGGAATCTCTTATATATGACATATCATTTCTCTTGCTGCTTTCAAGATTCTCTTTTTTGTCTTTGGCTTTTGACAATTCGATTATAATATGTCTCTGTGTGGTCTCTGTGTTTACACTACTTGGAGTCCATCGAACATATTGTATTTGTATAGTGTTTTCTCATCAAATTGGGGAAGGTTTTAGCCATTTTCTCCTCAAATCATTTTCCTGCCCCTTTCTCTCTTCTGGAACTCTAAAGATGTATGGTCTGGTGATGGTGTCCCATACATCCCCCAGGTTCTGCTCATTTTTTTTTCAGGTTTTTTTTTTTTTTTTGGCTTCTCAGATGCAATAATTTCCAATGATTTGTGTTCAAGTTCACGGATTCTTTCTTCTGCCTGATTGAGTCTTTTCTTGGACCTTATCTTGAGCCTTTTCTCGTGATTGAATCACCTAGTGAATTTTTCAATTCAGTTATATTTTTCACCTCCAGAATTTCTGTCTACTTCTTTCTAATAATTTATATCTTTTTGTTTTTATTCTCATTTGTTCATATACTTTTCCCTTGGTTTCCTTTAGTTCTTTGTGTTTTCCTATCACTTTTGAACATATTAAAGACAGCTGTTTTAAAGTCTTTGTCATGTATGTCCAATTGGTGTGCCGCTTTATAGATATTTTCTAGAGATTTATTTGGTTTCTTTAACTGGGCCCTATTTTCCATGTTTCTTGTGTGCATTGTGATCTTTTGTTGAAATTGGGTATTTTAAGAAAAAGCTACTTCTCCCAGTTTTTGGAGATGGTGTGGAAGCGTTTTACTAATTAGTAGGACTCTGAAACTTGGGAAAAGCCTGAGGTAGAGCTTTAAATTCTTAGGTCTTTTCTGGGCATATGTCCTTCTGGGCCTATTTTTGTGATTTTTTTTCCTTCTTTTTTAATTTTACTGGTCTACTTTTAAATGTTTTATTAACCAAGAGTCTCAATGTGTTTCTTCTTAGGGCCTTAAATGTTCAATTGTAATCTTCTGCCTATAATCTCTTACCCCCAGGTGTTTGTGAATCTTCAGTCCCCTGTGGTTTTCATGCACTGTGGCATCCATCAGCTGGTTGCTGGTGATTTCCGAGGTTAGATCCAAACTATGCCACTGTTCTCAATCTGAGCTTCTTTTTAGGTGAGACAGAAAACATTACCTTAAACAGTCCACAGATAGGCCAGAGTACTGCAGACAAGTTACAGTCTACTCTTTCTATCCCAAGGGAAGGAACTGGGAATCGGGCTATTTCCATCCAACTGTGCCATGTAATATTGCAGAGGGGGTTGGGAAATGGCAAGTGAAAATCTGTGGAATTTTTTTTCTTTTTACCATTTTGAATGTGGCTTTTCCTTTACTGGCCACTTACTTGGTTGCTGCTGACATCTGACTATTTTTTAGAGCTCCTATAAAACTGTTTTATCAGTCTGTAGTTGTTTATTTTTTGTTTCCTTGAGAAAGCAAGGGCTTGAAGTTTCCTGGTCTGCCATCTTATTCTAAATTGACTTTTATTTGGTATTATCTGTGCCATTGTCTTCATCATTGACATAAACAGTAGGGAAGTGTTTGTATGTGTTTTAAAAACCACTATGCAGGAAAAAGAGAAAGTATGGTCTAGGAATAGATGTTCCAAAACAGCATCAGTGTCAGTGTCAAAAAAACAAAACAAAACAATTCCATCATGCTGTGTGGAAAAACAATATATAACCAGGTAGATTTTTCTCCTCATATCCATTGCTTTCCCCACAATAGAAAATACTACTTCTCCCAGGTTATACAAATTCTTATAAACCCAAGAACAATTTTGATAAGTTTTAACTATTCTACGTATAGTTATTGATTAGATTCCAAGTCTACAATGTACTTTGGTCTCTCTGTCCTCTATAAATGCCACACAGTCTAGACTCTGCTTCTATACTCATTCTAACTTGTACTGTCTTCTCCTCATGTTAGTGCTGTCCATACTTACAGTCCCACATCAAACTACATTGTTTTCTAGAATTAATCTCTGAATGCACCAACTTGCACTGCTCCCTCTCTCCTTTGGATTCTTTTTACAGGCAGTTATACTACTGGAACAATTAGCTACTTAAGAGATTTGAACAGGAACCCTTAGGGCGGGTGGTACAGATACTATCTATTGTCACCCAGTGTTTATCTCCTAGGCTAAAAAGAAATTAAAACACACTAGTAAATTCTTGATCCAAGACACTGCTATACTAGAAAGGATGTAAAGGGCAGAAAAATAAAAATGGGGGACCAAGTAGAAAGGGAAGGCCTTAGGAAGTGTCCACAGTGGGGAGTTAAGAATGGAAAGGAAAAGAAGGAATGAGGGAAGGTCTAGAACTGAATACTTGCCTACTTGTAGTTTTACCAGGGACCCCATTTTTCCCATAAGCATTACTTCTACCTCAGATTTCTACTTGTATATTGCTTTAATTTCATGTACCCGGCAGATGAAATCAGATCTTCTTGGTTGTATGAAGATGAACTCATAACTCTGTGTATGAAGTAATGTGTTGGTTCAGTAATAAGATTTCTTTCTTCTTTCTGGAAAAGTGAAAACCAAGTATTATATAGAGTTTGATATGTACTTTCTCACTTTATTGGCATAGTCTACATTCTAAAATATAATGAGAAAAAAGTTTTACAAATTACTTGAAAGATGGATGAACTTAATAATTCTAATTAAAATGTCTCCTTCCAATATAATTCTTTGGAAATGACTTTGTGAAGATGATCTATATTATATTAAAGTATGAATAGATTGTAAAGATAAACCTAGCACAATGTTTGAAGAATACAGTTTTCCATTTCTGCACTTTACTGATATTTTTAATCATATTTTACTGAGTTCAAAAATAAAAAGAACAGATATAACTCAGGCCAGTTCAGAAGCTTTTCAAGTCAGTTATCACAACCTAAACTCTGATCCCTTTGTCAGGAACTCATATATAATTTCATCGCCATATCTTTTATGAGAATACCATTATTTTGATGTCAGTTAGAATCTCAAAAAAGGCTTCTATTACCGTGATTCACATAATCCATTAGACTTTCATTAATGTTATACTATAACATTCCTTTTTTCTTCATTATTACAGAAATTTCAGGTACAACATAATTCATATTTGTATACACTAAAAAGTGATCACTTTCTAAAGTCTAGTTACTATCCATCACCATATAATTAACCTCTTTTCTCTCTTTCACATGGCCCACCCCTTATCCTCTGCTAACCACGGATCTATTCTCTATCTATGAGTTTGTTTTCATTATGTTTTGTTTTTCTGTTTACTTTTTATTTCCATACATGAGTGAAATCATATGGTATTTTTTTTTCTTTTTGACTTATTTCATTTAGCATTACACCTTTAAGGTCCATCTATTTAGTTACAAATTATAACATTTCATTCTTTTATATGGCTGAGGAGATTCCATTATATATATAACCACAATTTCTTTATCCATTCTTTCATTGGTGCACACTTAGATTGCTTCTATATCTTGGCTATTTTAAATAATGCTGTATGAATATTGGAGTGCATATATCTTTTTGAATTAGTGTTTTCATGTTCTTCACATAAATTCCAAAAAGTGGAATAGCTAGATCATGTGGTAGTTCTCTTCCTAATTTTGTGAGGAACCTCCACTATGTTTTCCATAATATAGAACCAAGAACTGCATCAATTTAGAGTCTCAACAACAGTATACGAAGGTTCCCTTTTTGTCCATATCCTCACCAACACTTGTTATTTCTTGTTTTTTTGATAATAGCCTTCTAACAGATGTGTGGTTTTGATTTGAAATTCCCTTGTAATGATTTGAACATCTTTTTATGTGCCTATTGGTCATCTGTATATCTTCTTTGGAAAAATGTCTACTCCAATCTTCTGCTCAATTTTTAATCAGGTCATTTCTGCTGTTGAGTTGTATGAGTTCTTTCAATGCATCCCATAAATTGTGGTACGTTTTATTTCTGTTCATTTCAAGGCATTTTCTTTGATTTTTTTTTTGATAACTCATTGATTGTTCAATAATATGTTTAATCACCATATTTTTGTGGTTTTTCCAGTTTTTTTCTTGTAATTGATTTCTAGTTTTATACCATTGTAGTCAGAAAAGATGCTTGATATGATTTCAGTCTTGAATTTATTGAGCTTTGTTTTCTGGTCTCATATGTGATTTATCCTGGACAGTGCTCTTTGTGCACTGTCCATGTATATTTTGTTGCTTTTGGATGGAATGTGTCCGTCTGTCTGTCTATCTAGTTCATCTGATTTAATGTGTCATTTAAAGCTGATGTTTCCTTATTCATTTTGTCTCTATGATCTATCCATTGATGTAAGTGGGTGTTAAAGTCCTCTGTTATTATTGGACTGCTGTTAGTTTCTCCCTTTAGGTCCATTAATTTTGGTTTTATATATTTTGGTGCTTCTATATTGAGTGCATATATTTTTATATGTTATGATCTCTTGCTTGGTTGACCCTTTTTATCATTATATAGTGCCCTTGTCTTTTATTATGGCCCTTGTTTTAATGTCTATTTTGTCTGATATGAGTATAGCTATACAGCTTTTAGTTTCCATTTGCATGGAATATTTTTTTCCATCCTTTACACTTAACCTGTGTGTGTGTAGAAGGCAGCACATAGATGGGTCTTGTTTTTTTTATTCATTCAGCTATTCTGTCTTTTGATTGGTGGATTTAGTCCACTTACATTTAAAGTGGTTATTGACATTACTTGTTATCTGGATATTAACATTCTGTTCCTTCTCTCTGCTCCTTTCTTCTCTCTTTCTTCCCTTGTGGTTTGATAACTTTGTTTAGTGTTATGTTTAGGTTCCTTTCTCACTTTTTTTTGTGTGTTTTCTATAGATTTTTTCTTTGTGGTTACTGTGAAGTTCACATATAACATCCTAAATATATAGCAGTTTATTTTAAGTTGTTAGCAACTTAAATTTGAACACATTCCAATCATTTACATTTTTACTCCTCTTATGTTTTATATTTTTGATGACACATTTTACATGTATTTTATGCTTTCCTTAACTAATTATTGTGATTTTAGTCCATTTTACTTCTTTTGTTTTTAACCTTTGTATTTGCTTTATAAATGATCCACTATCTCTGCTATATATTTATGTTTTCCAGTGAGATTTTTACTTTCATATGTTTTCTTATTAATGAGCACATTTTCTTTTAAGCTTAGAAAAGTCCCTTTGATGTTTTTTTGGTAAGACCAGGTTAGTAATGATGAATTTTAGCTTTTGCTTACTTGGAAAACTTGATTACTCCTTCAATTCTGAATAACTTATCAGGTAGAAAACTCTTGGCTGGAATTTTTTTTTTCTTCAGCATTTGGAATCTGACATGACGCTCTCTCCTTGTCTGTAAAGTTTCTGTAAAAACTTCTGATATCCTTATGGAGTTTCCCTTGTATGTAACAAATTGTGTTTTTCTTGTTGCTTTTAAGATTCTCTCTTTATCCTTATTATTTTTATTTTTTTTATTTTTTAAACTATTTTAATTATAATGTGTATTGATGTGGTTCTCTCTGGATTCTTCTTATTTGGAACTCTCTGGGCTTCCTAGTCTGGATTTGTATTTACTTTCCCAGATTAGGGAAATTTTCAGCCATTATTTCTTCAAATAATTTTCAATTCAAACCTAGACAATCTAAATTTGTGTGGACTTTTTTACTTCCTTATACCTTGGCCCAACTTCTGATCATAGTCTATCTGCATAAGGCTTCTCTGCACAGAATGTTCAATGGATATTTACTAGCCAAAATACAAAAAGGATGGAATATTTTAACTAACAGATATAATTAGCTCTCATTTCTCTTATATGGTTTCCTTTTCCTATTCTCCTTGGGGTTCTAAATAATCTAGATCTCTTTCTATTATCTGCTTTCCCTCAACTGAGTTTTATGGCTTTATCTGTTATTTCTCTTATTTTATAAATATTACCAAGGTTAGGAGAAGAGCAGAACCATTTTAATATGCCTTTCTTCCTAATTAAGATACATTTTGGACAGAATTTCTGAAGATCTCTACTCTTTCTATAGATGTATGGTCACTGACAGTCATGTTTCTCACTCACCTTATACTGTGGCTTTTTCTCCCAAGATGAGTCTGTTACAGCCTTGGTTGTTGAGCAAGCAGCCATGTGAAGCTCAGCAACAGCTCTTTTAACTTGTCTCTCTTTACATTCTATTATGTGATTTGAGGTTGCTTCAATACTTTCAATATTTGTACTGGATGTGGGCTGACAACATTTACTTATTGATAAAAACTTTTTCAGGCTGTTTGTGCTTACTGTTGGCTTGGGAGAACCAACTTTGCTTTCTCTTGGCTTTGTGGCTACTTTCACTTGATCTTCAGATTGTTCTCCTAAACATTCTTCTTGTATAACTTCTCTTATAACAAATTCATTTTCATCAGACATTTGTCCTTCTTGTGAATCAATATCATGAGCTACTAATCGGAGGATAAGATCATTTTTGTTCTCAACATCTTTTAAAAGCTCCACCTTGGTGATATCAGGCTTTCTTATATTCTGAAATGAATTTCTGCAAACAGCCTGGAATTGAAGGTACAATGAATATATTAAAAACAAATGCCTCAATCACTTTTCCTATGATTCTTTTGTAATATAGCTATGTTAATATGATTTCTAATTTCGATTTATGTAGTATTACCTTCATACACTACTTACTTGTATTTTAGCAATATTTTAAGAAGAAGAAACAAATGAAAATTGTATGATATATTTGGTGTCTGTCATTTCTTTTACATTCAGAGATCATATAAATCTACCACAACTTACTGCAAAGTATAAAAGATCTAACATAAGTCCTTTTTCCTTAAACTTTATATTTTGTTGCATCATAATTTACTTTTTTTCTCATTTATTTCTAAAGTTTTGTGACAAAAATAGACAGGATAATCTATTTTTCTAAAATCATAGTAAGGAATCATAGAGAAACCCAGTATTTTTAATAAAAAATAAATCAAGTTATTATCTAATCTTGATTTTTGAAAGATGAATAACCAAAATTGTGAAGGTCTTTGACACTATGATCCCCATCCTTCCATTCCTGATCCTTTGGACATATTTTTCAAAAGAATCTTCATAGCACAAATCTTGTTTCTCCCATCCTTAATCAAATCTCAGTTTCCATTTTCAGTATCTAAAGACAGATCAAAGACAACTATAATTAAATAACAGAATTTCTCTACTTTCGTAGCCTTTGACAATGCCATGGAACCTACAAATTGACTTAATAATTGTAGACCTCAACATGACTGTACCATTGTAAGCCAGTTTTCAGAGAATGGTGCCCTAAAAGAATGTCTTCTGTGTAAACAAAATATATAAACTGCCTCCTTAAGAAATTAAAAAACAATCAATTTTAATTTTGTGTTAGTGGAAGCAACTAGTGGTTTAGAAAATCCAAAATTATTCTATAGGGCTTTGGAATTTATTACTATATATGGTTTTAATAAGGTATATGCCTAGTGTATTGGGAATTTATGCTACCTCAGAATAGAAAATAAAGCCCTAAGGCGGAGCCAACAAGTGTCTGAGTTCTCTGATCTAATCTACCGTTCTTTTGTCTCTTCTCTATGTCTAGGCTGGAGATAGAAAGCATTGGTACCCAGGTTGGTACTAATCAAATGTCTTAAAAGAGTTCTCTGTCTGCTTTATTTATTTATTTATTTTTTTCTTTTTTGTAGGAGGGCTTTTCTTCCCCTTAAGATGACAAGGGTAATTATTTGGTTTAAATATTCTCTTCCTGCTTTCTGTGGCCTACAAATGACTTAAGCAAAGAAAGGTGGTAACTAAGAGTAAGATCTGTGACAGACATTTCCACAGATATTAAAAACTGATTGAGCAATGTATTTCTATAGTCTGTTCACACAAATTTTATTCCCAAGGAATTACTTCTATAGAAATGGAGACTACCAGGTAATATGCTAATGCAATCATGAGAACTCGTATGGAAGAGGAAAGATTTTAGCTAAAAGGACCTTCATCTGATTCAAAAAATTTAGGACAAAAGAGATGAAATGAATGTCTCAGCTCATGATAATCTCAGTTTTTGGGTATTGAAACATAAAGCTCTTATTAACATATTTACCAGCCCTGAGACTTAGTTCAGTGAGTTACAAGACACTGCTAGAGAAAATTCAAGTTTATGAATGGTTCTATAAAATTTTTCTCATTGTCTAGGCTACAGATTATATCCCTAAACACACTTAGTCTTTTTATGAGTCAATACCATCAGTATAAGGGGCTTTGATGAAAATCAAAATGTATACTGGATCGGTGTCCAGATAATCCCTTTGTTTTCAGTGGTATAGTTTCCTTGTAACAAGGACATTTTGATATTTTAAAATCCCAATTTGTTTAATATATTTGGGCCCTCAGTATGGAGTTGCAGAATGGAGTTAGGTCTATAGTAAGAGGAAATGGGTTCATAAAAATGGCAGTAATAGGGCTGCCGGATCTAGAACAAGGATGGACGAGGAAAGCATCTTGAGAGTATAGAATAAATTGAGAAAGGCTAATATAAAGTGAAATAGTAAGAAACAAGTATAATCTAAGAGTTTTTAGTCTAATGTCTATTGATAAATGTTGCTAAAAGTAAAAAGAGTACCACTGCCGTGGAGCCTTAATTTTCAGAAATTAAAACTATTATAGATGGTTTCGAAACTTCATATATCCTGATATTCTAACTGGCTCTTTTAAACACCTGTAGATATTCACAGTAAAGCCAGTTTAAACTGATTGTCTTGGGAACACTAGCCTGAGATCTTTAGAGTGAGCCACAGATCTGATATGACAAGTCTCAGTAAATCATATGACTATACGGATAAACTGAGATAACTAATTCTCCTATTGGGCTGGGCAATAGCAATAGAAAAATTCATTCCTATTTGGGGAAGAGTATCACAGAACCACCATATCTCATTATTCATCTGTTTTTCTGCTGTTGTTTTTGCACTTACCTCTAAGGGTTTTATATCCAGTCGTCCTGTCCTATTCAATGAAGTACGTCTTTCTTTCTTTGTCTCTTTTACAGTAGATGTGTCTAATGTAGAATAACTTCTCCCATCTATTGATGCTCTTCTCACTTCTGCTATGCTATGTCCAGTTTTTTTTAAACACTCCATCTTAAGTTTCTCAAGAGGTTGAGTTTTTATGGAAATTACTGCTAAGTGTTCTGAAACAATGCCTGGGTCTATTTTGATTGGTTTATTCCCAACATGTGGAACTATTTTAATTGTCATTTCCTCTCCAATTGAATCTTTGTCTGACTCTTCTTTCTCTATTTCAGGGATCATTCTAACAGCATGCTCTTGTGCCTTTTGAACAATTCTATTAATGTCTAGATCTCCAAAGAGATAAGTATTTGAAATCTTCGAGCCATCTGTATCTAATGGAAAATTTGAAACTCCATTAATAATTAAACTGGCCACTTTTTTAGGGAAGACTCTGTTTGTATCTTTTATATCATAATAAAGGTCTTTATGGGTTCCAGATTGTTGCAGTACATTACTGTAAACAGAGTCAATAACCTGAGAAACCATTTCTATGCTTTCTGGATTTAAAAACTGTTCTTCAGGATCACCAGCAACAAGATTAATATTACTTTTAGATATTTCAGCTGTCACAGATTTTGTCAATTGAGATGCAATTTTCTTTAACTCAGGCTTTGATAAAATTTTTGCATCTTTGCTTGATGAATGTGGCAACCTTACTAGTTTAGCCAAGAACAAAGCCAATGCTTCCTCTAAAAATGTGGCATCTAACAAAGAAACTCTTTTGGATGAAGACTTTTCCTGGGATTTAAATTCTTCAACAATTTTGACCACTTTTTCCATAATTTTGACAGCTTCCAGAACTAATTCTGAACTTGATACATCTTCCTCTACTTGAGGTTGAAATTCAGAATTGGAAATTTCCTTCACCATTAAAAAACCTATTATATCAGAGAGTACATTGCTCTTACCCATTAAATCTTTGAATATAGATGTATGTGAGCCAGACTGCTTTAAAACACTGCTGTAAACAGAATTGACTACTTTTTCAATAGTTTCATTGTCAGCTAATGGTACAGTAGGCAACTCTTTGGCTGGTGGTGTAAGTTTAATCTTACTTTTGGAGATAAATTCTTGTATTGAATTTAATATTTTTGATATTATATTTTGCATTTCAGTTTCCTGAGATTTTGTTTTTTCTTTATCCACTTTTGGAAATGTAAATAAAAGCTTTGATAAAAATTTTACAGCAATTTCTTCTATTATGTTATAAGGTAGCATATGAGCATGTGATGGTTGAGGCTGAGGAGCATCGGTAGTTTGGATAACATCTTTAAGAATATTTTCAACAACACTGTCAACTTCTGCACACTGATGTGGAGTTAGCTCTCCAGAAAAGTAGTTCTGCAACTGATTGCCACTGACTTCTCGTAGAACTAAATCAACTATGGTTTCTGAAAGGATTCTGCATCCACTGGCTACACAATTTTGTATAATCTCTTGTGATCCAAACTGTAACAAGAGATTATTATAAATAGAATGAACCACTAATTGAATAATTTCATCATCATTGGGATGCAAGGATTCCACATACTGAATAATCATATCTTCATTTTTAGAGATCTCTGTGGTGACCGTACTTAGTAACTTCATTTGAAGGAAATCCAGTTCTGTAAGCCAATTGCTCTCAGATGTTTCTGTTTTGGTTTTGGTTACTGTTGAGAAAATTTTAGATAACAGAGCAGAAATCACACTCTCTAAAAATTCATGAGGCAGCATGATGTTATATGGCGATGACGTTTGACATTCTTTACTGGATGTATGAGCCACCTTTTGAATCTTTTTAACAACATCCTTAGATTCCAGAGGCAAACATGCGGAAGCTGGAACCTCTTCACAATATATCAAATTAAGTTGATGTTGAAAAATTTCATTTATCACTGCACTAGTTAGTCTTCTTGCTAAATTTTCCCCATTACTCTTTATATTCTTACAAATGGAGTCTTGAGATCTATATTCTTTCAAAATACTGCATACAGAGGAGTGCACAACTTTGTTAACTAATGTTTTATCAATCGCTGGTATTTTATCTAAGAAAGGTGTCTTATTTAGAGAGAGTTTTTTAGTCACTTTGTGAATATGTGTCATTTTATCCACAGTTATTTTCTTAATGCTAGATGGTGCTTCATCTGCAGTCAATTCTTTATGGCTGAGAGATACTTTAGAAACTGATGACACCTTATCTACAGGTGGAAAAAACTGATTTTCCTTATCTGGCCTAAAAACCTTAATTTGAGCCTCTGAAAACTCTTTTAACAGTGAATCAATAAGTTTCATAGCTGTGTCATAGAGTTCAGTGTGATTTTCATTATCACTTACATTTTGACATCTATCACACGTTTGTGTTTCTGGCCTGGTAGAAAAGATCAACTTGTTAACCATTTCAGTTATAACATCTTCTAAAAATTTAGCAGGAAAAATTCCAGGTTTACTTTTTGATGGATAGTGAGGACTGTCTTGTTTACTAGGTTCGTTTTTAATCTCCTTAACTTTCACTTTTTCTTTCTCTATTTTTTTCTCTCTTTCTCCATATTTCTGTTTCTCTCTCTCTCTCTCACTCCCTTTCTCTTTCTCTTTTTCTTCTTTCTTCTCTTTGACAGAGAGATTTTTATTAAGCGAGAGAGATAAATCCTGTGTTGAAAAAGACTGTGCAACATCCTTACCAACCTCTTGAACTACATGAAATGTATCACTTGAAGGATTTGGGAAATTTGAATAATGTGATGATTCTTGAGGAATGCTCATTTCTAAGATATTATCATAAATATTTTCAGTGACATTTTGAACCCTTTCATAATCTGAGAATTGTTGCTGATTCTTGTTTATTAGAGGTGGAGTATCTTTTCTCTCCTTAACGTTTGGCTTTTGGGTTATTATTTCCTCAGTTTTCTTTGTTGCGGTCCCAATATTTCTTGCTTTGGATGTTAAAGAAGATAACGGAGCAAGCTTGTCTTCTTTTTTAAATGAATTTTCTCTTGTCTTGTCAATCTTCTTTTCATTGTTTATTTCAAAATCTGGTCTAGGTATTTCCTCCTCTTCATATTCTGTATCATCAGGAGCTACTTTTGAAGCTGATTTACTTTTCTTCTCAACTTCATTGTTTTTAAGTGTTATCTTCAAATCTGGCTTCTGAGTATCTTTACTTTGCACACTAGTAGTTGGATAAGTAACTTTTGATACATTCCCTTTATACATTTGAATTGAAATTCCCATTTTATTTTCATTCTCTTTCTTTCCATTTGCTGTACCTATAGCTGACCCTGATAACAGTTTAATGCTAGTTACAGAGGTAACTTCCAGATCGTGGACATCACCATTTTTAATTGATGTCTCCCCAGTTTGGAAACTTTCCTTTCTACTAATTTTACCTCCATCTATTTCTAAAGTGTTTGACAAATTTTTCTGGTCTGAGATTAGAGATACGTGTTTATGTGATTGTTCTGGTAAAGTGAGATGATTTTCTTTTAAACATCTGTTTATCTCTGTAGAGGTTTTCTGTGGTAGGTGTTGAACTCTTTGGGTGATGTTGTCTGGATTTAAAAATGAAAAGAAGGTGGAAGACCAGTCTCCTGAAAAAAGTGGTTGAATCTTGAAAGCAGAAATTGCCTTCTGGGCTAAAGCAGCAATCGTTTCTATCACAATGTTACTTTTATCACCCTTCTGAATTTCAGTAGACTCACACTTTCGTATGAACTGATCATATACAAAATTAGATATCTTATCAACTGTTTCTTTATCAACTGGTGGAAATGAAAACATCTCTTCAGCATTTGGTAGAACTTTAATTTCACTTTTCCTAAATTCTCCAATCAGAGAGTCTGCAAACTTTATAGCCAAACCCATAATATCTGTCTCTGGCATTTCTTTTTTCTTAGAATCTTTAGTACTACTTGGAAGAGAATAAAATTTGCGAACAAGGTCAACGATTACATCTTCCAAAAATGCAGCTGAGTATAGAGACGTCTGTGTCTTTTCTTTATCAGGTGTGGTAAGTACAGATGTGTGATCATAATCATGGGAAGGTGATCCTTCACCACGTAAAAATGGCTGCAGATGATGGTCCATGATTTCCTTCATAATGAAACCAGCTATTTTACTGAGGAATGAGCCTTCTTTTTTGTCTGCCTGTTTTTGCACTTCAGCTTGAAATTCAGATCTTTTCATAATATTATTACATATAGTGTCAACCAAATTCTCAATTGCTTCTAACTGCACACTTTCTGCATTCTCCTCTGCTGTGGCAAGACGGATTTCATGTTCATAAATTTCTTTGATAATTTCATCAGTCAGTTTTGAAGTTGCATCCACAAACTCATAATCTGGTGTAACCTCTTCTTCTTTTAGTTCACTTTTAGTGTCGGTTGAAGGGAAGATATGCACTATCAGCTTGTAAATCATATCTTCTAAAAGAGACCGATGCAGCACTGTAATACATGATGGCAAGGTGTGACTATCCTTCATGATGACACTGAGCACATTTCTGATGATATTATCAGCTTGAAGGGAAGAATAAGAAGAAGACACTAATTCTCCTGCAACTAATGATTGTACCTGATAATCGTAAATTTCTTCCAAAAGCAAATGATATATTTTCCTTCCAAAACAAATTGGGTCACTTTGTATAGCTCTGTAAACTTGAATCAGAGATTGATATTCATCTAATATTTTTTCATAAATTAAGTTGACTGTTTTTTGAACCATTTCTTTATATCCTTCTGAAAAACACATATCATCATCAATGTAATCTGCAACTAAAATCTCTGATGTGGTGAACTCCAGAACAATTGATTTTACTAATGTTGTAAGTATGTCAGTAATTTTGGCTTTTACTGTATCTGGGTTTTCGGCAGCCAAGGCATTATTTGAGAATGCATAAAGGAGTTTGCATAAAAGCTTAGAAATTACTTCCTCCAAAAAGACAGCTGAGTTTACAATGAAAGACAGCTCTCTTTGTTTAGTATCTATTGGTTTCTGTTTAAAATTTTGATCGACTGCAGCTGAAGGGAAAGTTTTATCTCCAGATAAAAATGACTGAAGGTGATGGTTAAATATTTCTTTTATTATAAAACTTGCTATTTTTGATACAGGTATGTTACTTATACCCTTTTTATCTTTCGTAAGAGACTGGTATAGATTTGAATATGAAAGATCAGCATAAATGGAATCAACCATAGACTGGATATCTTTCTCTGAAATCATACTTTGTTTTTCATTGCCGTGTTTAATAATACATATTGCATGTTTTGAAATTATCGACATGATTTCATTTATCAGTTTTATAACTGTATTACTTAAGTCTGATTGAGAAATATCTGGGTGTTCTGCACTGGATGCCAGAGGATTCATCTGAGATATAAGCTGAGTGACAATCTTTTCCAAATGGGCATGTGATAACATAGTAGTATATATTGTTGATGCCTGTCTTCGGAGTCTTGATTTAGTAATGTCACATTGAACTCTCTTTACCAAAACATTAGTATTTAGTTTGGAGTGTGACTTAAAAGGAAGCTTTTCTATAAGATTTGGATGAATTTGGAAATCGAAAATTTGGACCAGGATAATTTTAGTTATCCTTGCAGCCAATGTCTTTGTATCATTTAGAAAATCAGTATTGGGCATTATTACCATTTCATATTCTTGCAAAAAATTGCTGTACACTATGTCAATAATGTTTTTCACTACATCTCTCTCCACTGGAGGCAAACACAGTTGTTCCTCAGCATTTTCTAGAATGGTAACTTGGGCTTTTGAGAATTCTTCTGCGATGAGATGTATGAGTTTTTCAGCTTTATCAGACAGTTCATCTTCTGAATCTGTTACTGATTTCGTTTGTACAATGCCTAACACTCTGTGGAATATTTTGCTTAAAACCCCAGAGACCACATCTTCCAAAAAAGTTGAGGAATAAACACTGGCATAAAACCACTGCCTTCTCTCACTGTCGAGATATGTGTTTGATGAAGAAGGCAGTGGCTTTCCATCCACGAATGGCTGAAGATGTTGTTTACAGATATGTTTAATGATAAATCCTGCTATTCTATCAATAAGAACATCATTACTGCTTGTGATATTTTGCTCAACTGATTCTTGAGACTCAGAGTTTTGTGAAATATTTTTGAATACTGAGTCAACGAGATGCTGAACATCATCTTCTGAATAAACAAACTTGGTTTCTTCTTCATATTTTGAAAATAGAATTTCATGTTGAGAAATTTTCCTCCTAATGTCAGTGATTATATTTGAAGCAATTTCATTGAAATTCACTCTTGATCTATCTTTTGGAGTTTCTCTGTCTGCAACATTGTTAGATGCAGAAGGAAAGATTCTAGACAATAGTACTCTGATCATGTCTTCTAAAAATGCATATGGCAACAAGGTGTTATAAGGCGATAAGCTCTGACTCGTCTTGCCAGATTTACTGATGTTACTAATAATGTCCTGAACAATATTCTCGGCTGTGGAAATAGAATAGGAAGAAGATGACAAGTCTCCAGAAAACAGGGGATGAAGAAGGTAATCTGAAATAGCCGCTACAATTAAATTGGTAATATTTTCCACAAAAATTTCACTATCTTCAGACTCTTTATCAACCTCAGGGTCTAGCCCATGCTGTTTTAAAACATTTCTATAAACTGAGGTGACGAGTTCATCCACAATGTCTGTATCTAAAAAGGGGTAAGACTGCTCTTTGTCATCACATGGAATGTGAATTTTAGCTTTGTCAAAATGGTTATTTATTGAGTTTACTATTTTTTGTGTCATGTTTTCCAGCTCAGTTTCAGTGTTATGCTTTGGACTGAAAATCTTCGATAAAAGTCTGGTAACAACTTCTCCTACAAATTTATCAGGGTAAATCCCTAAGGGTGATGGTGTTCCGGGTCTGTTTGACTCTATGACTTCACTGAGAACCTGTTTTACCATGTTTGATATTTCATCCAATGGAGTATTTGGACGAGGCAAACCTTCTTTACACAAAAATGGTTGAAGATGATTTTCAATAATCTCTTCGATAATAAAACTGGCTATTCGGTCAACCATAATTGGGTTTCGGCTGGCTATACTTTTCTGTATTGAAACAAGAGAGCCAGACTTTTGCACAATATTACTGTAAACAGAATCCACCATCTTCTGTAGGTTTTTTCCTGTACATAGATGTTGATTATCATATATAGTGAACCATATTTTATGTTTTGAAATGGCTGATATAACCTTACTTATTATACAGGTAGACACTTCATTAAAATCTGAACTCTTGAAATATTTTTTTCCCAAAGAGGAAGCCTTACTAGATGGAGAAATGAGTTGAGATAGAAGTCTTTTGATGACATCTTCTAAAAATGAGTGTGAAAACATGGTGCTATAGCCTGTTAGAGACCTGGATTTGGAAGTAAATTCTCTCAGGTTATTTTGAAGTTTTTGCAGTATATTTTCAGCTTTGAGAGGGTAATATGAATTAGGCATGAGCTTTTCCCTGAAGCCAGGTGGGAGCTGATAGTCTAAAATTTCTAACAATATGCCGTTAGTTATTTGTTCTGTTATTGAGGTATTATCGCATGCCAGATTAGCTCCGCCAGTCACTTTTAATTTATATTTCTGAAAAACATCATAATAAACAGAGTCAGCAATCCTACTAACAGTCTCTCTATGGACTGGTGGAAAACACAGCCTTTCTTCAGCATTCCGTAAAACAGTGATTTGCGCGTTATTAAACTCATTCACTACATTGTTGACAAATAATATATTCTTCTCATTAAGTTGGCCTTCAGTAATGTTTTCATTTTTTCTCAACAGTGAAGTAGAGAGATTAAAAAACAGTTCTGAAATTATTTCCTCCAGAAATGTGGCTGAATAAACACCTGTATTTATATCCCCTGTATAAGGCTTATTATGGATAGTGATTATGTCCATATCTTTTGTTCCTTGTCTTTTAAGGGGTGACACAGAAGAGGAATTTGCTGAACACTTCTTGCCAAATGGTGCTTGTATTTTAGAGTTAACCACACTGGGATTATTCAGGGATCTTGTCAAAACAGTACTGTCATAACTCATGAATCCTAAAGAACGTTTACCTTGTCCTAATTCTGCTAATTCTGGCTTTTTTGCTTTTATGAAACTAGATGGTATGTCTCTTGTTCTATACTTTAAATATTTGTTTACAAAAGGTGGACTTTGCGGGACTTGCATACTGTGACATAGTTTGTCCATCAATGATTTAACCAAGCTGTGGGAGATAACATTAAGCATGGTGTCAGATGACAATAAATCTTGATCCATTTCTGCCAGATTTTCCAAAAGATTTGACATATAATCTCCTTGAAATTGTTCACAGTCCATTGCTCCCTTACAATAATCAAATTCTTCATCTTCTACACTTTGAAGTATATTTAGAAGTGGACATTCTTCCGCTGATATTTCATCAGAAGGAGGGCCATTATCAAGGAAGACAGTGTTTGTGCATTTTTCCAAAAGTGTTCTAATAAGTTTCTCACACACAACATTGAGAAGAAAAACCGACTTTGGAGTGAGCCCTAAATTATTTCCAATTATGCTATTATTTTGCTGATCGTTCGAGGATGAGAAAAATGTTCTTGCTTTTTTATCAGAATGCATAGCCTCACCTGGGTACTCATCTGGTAAAAATAAATCTAAAACAATATTAAAAACTTTATTAACTACTTCTTTGGATTCACGAGTTTTTAGGCTACCAACCAGATGGTCTAACTTCTGTGCCAGATAATTTAATTTATTTTTTTGAATGAGATGATCAGTTTGATGAGTAGATGACTCCAAATCTCTACCATCTATCTGTCTTTCCATTGTATTTGTTTTGTTGCAGATGGACACACTATTGCTTTTAAGCATGGAAAATGATTTATTTCTTCCATTACTTTCAAGGTGATGAGTTATTCCTATTTCATTTGATAGTACTTGAATTACTCCTATTAAGAGATCCTGAAAGAGATTATCAAAGTCAGCAGCAGCTACTTCTGGGCAGTAAATGTACTTTGTTTTTAAAGAAAACATTTGCTGTGTGATGTCAGTCTCTATAATGTTACTATTAAAAAGGATCTCAGTAATGATTTCAGAAATACTTAAAGCAAGTCCTCCAATAGAAATTGACCTGTTCTCAAACACTTGAGAATCAATTGAAATAATTTTGTTAAATGCTCCATTTTGGCTTCCCCATGCTTTCTCCTTTTCTCTACCATCTTTGGTGCTATCAGAAATGCTTCTAGTTAAATGGCAAATGACAGACTCAGTGAGATGTTCACAAAATTGATAAAGTGAAGAATCATTGTAAATGCTTCTTAGAGGCTGTTTTAATTCATATTTTTTCTTTGACAGTGTTGAAACAATAGACACCTTCTCACTGGAAACTTAAAAAAGAAAACATTACCGTTACTATTTTTAGCATGCATTAGGGAAGTATGGAAAATTCAATATATTGCTAACTATTTACATATGAATTTTATATTTGGAACACTTCACTAAAGTAAAAGAAAAACCTAGTCAAGAAAGAAATGAAGTTTTCTTGTATTATTTCCCACCTTGTGGAATCTTAATTTTAGCCAGAGTGTTGAGAAAATAACCCTGAAGAATTCAAATCTCTAAGTCAAGTGCTGATAATCTGTCCTGTTTAGATGGTTAAGGGCTCTAAGAACCTGGAAATCCTGGAGCAAAAAAAAATGATTATTACATCCTAGCATGTCTGGAGTAGTCTATAGAGACTTCATATAATTATTTAAAAAATAGTCAAAACATTTAATGTTGTGCTATGTATTACTTTTAGGAAGCTAAAGAGTTGTGAACTTGACTGAAATAAAAGTGTGCTAACTCCACAAAGGTCAGGGATAAATGACAATGTCCATAGTACTTTAATTCCTAGATGACAGTTTGTCACAAAATTTGTCCCCAAACTAGCCAGACTTAGGACTCTATTCTATTCAACAGAATATTTACTGCATACATCATATACCTGCTTGGGATGGCCAGCTTCTTGGCACGGTAGGCATAGAAATACACTCTTTTTTCAGAACTTCTTCAGAACCTAATCATTTATTATTTCTGTACATGTGGAATCAGACAAGTCTTTGTGGAGATGGGAGGCATTTATCTGAGCTTTGACTGCTTAATGGGATTTGGCGATATTGAGATGAAGGGAGTGAGGAAAGAATATTCCACGTAGAAGAAGGAAATGAGTGAAATCACTGAAAGGCTTTGGACATATCTGAGAATAGAGAATTGATTTGATAGGAGAGCCAAGTACCAATGGGATGGAATCATGGATCTTCTCTTGCTTGTTTTTCTTTATTGATTCTTTAAGTTCAATTAGGCTATCCTCAGAGAAATTCTATTTATGAGCTTGCAATTGCAGGCATATACTTGTCCACCTTGAAAAAATACCAGTTTTAAAAATGGGAAATGACCTCCTCCTGCACATGTTAGAACTGGCAGTATGTGGTCTGCTATTTGAATGTTGGGCCAGTGATATATCTGGACTGGTAATGAAGCAACCATTCACTGGTAACTAGAATTATTGATCTGGTTCAGGGCTATTATAGTATTATTAGATTCAATGTTATGAAGTAGCCAATAATTAAAAGACTTGGACATACAAAAATGGCTATTACATATGGTTCAACCTAACACATACAGATAAGCCTTCTTAGAAAGGGAGCGAAAATGTCTTTGTAGGAATAAGTTTAGAGTATTACATCTAAAAGGAATTTAATACTGCAATGCAAACAAAACAAAAAGTTTAATACCACTGTTCTTAAAAACAGTGACTACTAATGGCAAAGACTTCAACCATACGCCTTGAAAAGATAAATAACTAACCTTCAGTCAATTAACTGTGTATTTGGCATGATTATAAAGAAGTCATACACAAGAATTTTAATAACTCCTTGGAACTCATACCTCATGCTCAATCAATCCCTTGCTTTAATGTCTCATTTTCTCTTATCTACAGGTATGGGAAATTAAGCAACAGACTCCTTTCAGATTCAAATAATGTGAATGTTTAACTTTTTTTTTCTAGTATCCTGATATATTAAGTAGTACTAAATACCCCACCCTCTAAGGCTATTTTTAGAAAAACAGTAAATGTAGCTTCTTGGACAGGAGATTTAAACATATCTGATTTTTTTTTCTAAATTATGCCAACTTTTAAAGTAAGTTATCTTTTGCTTACCCCTAGTTTTGAAGTTCTTGAAGTATGTGACCACAGATGTGGTTACATGTCTTGCTACCAAGTTAATTTCATTTGGACCCAGTTCATGATCAGCAAAAACAATGACTTCAAATTCCTTCAGAGTCTTTATCTTTGGGTACCTCCTATTTTCCCATTTTTGCAATAAAGAAAAATCTCCCTTGCTGGCTTCAAGATTTTTTTCTTCATCTTCAGGTATACAGCTGATTCTTTTATTCCACATTCTAAGCAAACTTATCTCCTCATTCTTTTGTTCTTCAGGGTTTTGCTTTGATATGAAAAATGGTTTCATTGTTTCTATGCTTTCATTAATGTGTGTTTGACTTGGAAAACCATAACTTGACAACACAGTATTGACAATATTTTCTGCAGCTAAACATATTTTGAGTGGAGAAACAGTTGTATGAGTTTGGTTTGGCTCAACAACTGGTTTTGGGATCTCATAATGAAGCACTCTTGGATTTTCACCTTTTCCCATTTCTATGAATGACATGACTTGCTTTAAGGCTGCTTCTGTAGATTCATTTGCTTTCTTAAACAGTTTTTGTAAGACACTGCCTTCAGGAAGGGAGCTATTTCCTTTCATGGTTTGATCAAAATGACCAGAATCAGATTCCCTTAGGCTGTAGTCTTGTACTTTGTTTATAGAACATAATGATATATTTTCTGAATCAGGCCTTTCCATTGGCTCTGTGCTTTTAATTGTGTTTTCTACAGAGGCTGTGGCATATGGGGATACATTTGATGAAGCTCTGTACTTATTTTTCATATCCTCCTCAGAATAAAACACCAAACCAGGTACACTTATTTGTGGACGATTATTCCCAAGACTAACTTCCTTTAACTTTGACATGTGCATTTTCATATTAGTTGCTATTTCAACCTGATTAACGATGTACGTGTTTTCAACTCCTTGGAACAAACTTTCCATTGGAAGGTTTTTGATCAGAGACTCATTGAAATAAGTACACTGGTCTATCAGTGTGCCAATGATCTCACTTGCTACAATGTTCTCATTCGATACGCTAATTGAAGATGTTTCTACTTGGCTTATTTCTTTATCTAGCTTGTTCTTAATTATACCAAGCATGTCACTGATGATATTAACAGCATATGTAAATAATTCTGAATGGAATGAATGGACCTGTAGAAGAGTATTTTGTGCATTTTCCTTGGAAATAATAGTACGTGACTTGGATTCATCAGAAAACTTTTTCAGTGGTTGTAATTTTGGCAACATCTTTTTGCTTAATAGTCTCTGTTGAACAGGAAAAAGATTTTCTATAGGCATTTTCACTATTTCAGAAAACTCATATTTAGAGATATGTTTAAACTGCAAGTCTACAAATGACTCTAACATGTTTAAAACCCTTTCTATAATTTCTCGAACAATTTGCTTGCTGGAGCTCAAAGAAATTTGGTCTTTTGTCTTCATGTTATAGATTGGCACACTACTGAGGATGTCCTTGATTGGAAAACCATATTTACTTTTAGTAGTAATATGTTCTTTCCTACTTGCTAGAGTTTCTTTACTGTCTGGAGTGGACATCTGAGACAGAAAGCACAGCTGTAATTTTTCAAATAGCATTTCAACAATTTCTGTTCCAAACATATTAATTTGTGCTTTGGTATCTTCAGCTCTAGAAGTTCCTTTAACACGACTATGGAACCTGCTTTCACGATCCTTAAGATGTGGCAAATTTAAAAGTGAAAGAGAATATTCTAATTGTTTTGCTTTTATTGAAATTTCAGTCAAAACATTTTCAGCTATCATCAGTAGCTTACATTTTTCACTTTCCATGTCATTTGATTCTGTTTGCCATTTGTCAAACATTTTTTTAAATATACTGTCTTTAGGAAAAATCTGTTCTAGCTGTGAAGAAACATTTTCCAAATAAAAACATGCTTGTGTTTTGGCAAGAGAACCTGTACCTGTATTCCCCTGTGAAAGTTTGAGATCATCCAAATATGAGAATTTGATTGGATTAACCAAATTGTGCTTGTTTGTAGCATATAATCCTTGCAAAACTGTAGCAACTATATTATTTGCTATCTTGACTTGATTGGATGGTAAATCTTTCGCATTTACCATTTCTCTAGTTTGCTTCACCTTTTCAAATTCTTTCACAATTGTTTCCAGGATATTGATGATTATATCCTTGGCACACAAATTCATTTCTGAAATGGGAAATTTCATTTCCAGTAAGCTTTTGGCATCTCCTGTTGACAGGATTTGTGGCAGCCCAATGGCAGTCTTAGACCGCCTGTCTTTAAGAGTCTTCTCTCCAGTACCTAACTTGGTCTTGCTTTTGGCCTTAGCACCACTAGGTCCGAGGTGTAGTTTTGTTCTAAATTTAGGCAAAGGAGTAACTTTTGATCTTGCTTTTAAACTTGTTTTTAAACCTGGCTGAGGGCTTCCCTTAGGGCTCACTTTAAAACTGTGTAGCCTTAGAGGTTGTAACTCATCAGAACCACCTTCAGGGGATGAGGTCTCTTCTAGATAAACTGAGGCAAAATTTGTGATCTTATTGAGCGCTATTTGGACTAAATCCTCCCCTACTTGCAGTGGTGAATATTGCATGAAACTATTTTCCAAAAGAGAGGCATTTTGCTTGCCTGCATAAGGATAAACGTGTGGCATCACAAATCTAGGGGATTCACCTCCTTTTCCTTCTTGATTAGTTTCTCTGGCACACGATGGTTTCTTGGGTAAAGTATCATTGTTGTCAGATGCTTCTTTTTTATTACTTTTCCATAATGATGTCACAACTACAGAGTACATTTTCTCCAAAACCCTTTCAACTATGTCATTTGCTACACTGTTAATATGTGACTGTGTCACATCTGATGTTTTGATTTTAGAATTAGATATAAAGGAAGGGATTTCATTAAATGAAGGCAAATGGCCTCTGATTTCCATTATTCTTTGATATAATTTATTTAAAACTTCTTCTACTGCACCAAGCAATGCAGTTTTTTCTTTTTGTTTTGATTCTCCATTTCTCATAAATATTTCTTCCAAAACAATCCTCTGGCTTTCCTTTTTTGCTGCCATTTGATTTTGTTCTAATGGATTCTTTGAAAACAGAGATAGTTTGATATTTTCTTCCTGCTCTGTTTGTCCCAGCAATATTTCATTTGATACAGTTAGTTGTGCAAATAAGTTAGGATTGTCTTTTGAGTAAAAACTGATTTTCTTTACAGGTATTTTATTATATAAAATCTTTAAGATACTGTTAACAATTTCACTCACAATGATGTTTTCTTGGAATAAAATATTGTTTGGATATGGACACACCTTTTGGATTTCTAGGTCCAAGTCATTTTTAATAAGCTTCAAAATGACACTGGCAATGATGTCAGCATATTCCTTAAGACTAGTTTGTGGTAGATGAATTGTGGGTCCAAATTCTTCTCTGTAACTGGAAAAAGTGGAATCTGCGAACTCTTGGCTGGGAATATTTTCAGTTGATACTTTCAGGACATCCACATTTGATTCCATTTGGCTTGATTCATGAAAGATGCTGTCATCTTGTTTATGATTTTCCAGTTCTGGGCTAACAAATGACTTTTCTTTAGGCTGGAAATCTAGAGCGATTAATGAATCTATTCTTTCTGTGGCAAAAGATTCTAATCGGTTAAAAATACTGTTAGTAATGAAGTTAGCATTTTCCTCAAATGGATCAGGAACAGGTTTCTTGGTGTCTTCTTTCTCTTCTACAGTTATTGGACTATCATCAGCATAAACTGATTTCAGATTTGAAGATGAAAAACACTCTGTTCTTCTTTCACTTTTTGACCCCATAAAAGGAGGCTGTTGACACTCTGTTTGTGGCAACATATCACAAAAGGTAATGGGCAATTGTGCTGAAGTAGGATCTTCTGCATTTATGCCAAGCATAACAGCAGAACTGAGATTATGAAGAACAATATCCACTAAATCACTGGATATCAAAATGACATCTGATTTAGGAACCAAAGGTTTTGGAATAATCTTATGTGCACCCTCAGTGTACATTTCAGAATTTGCTCTAGAATGTTTGCTAGCTATGTTGCATTTTAGAGTGGGTGTGGCAAATGGAAGATTATTTTGATACAGTATTTTTTCATAAATATCACATAAAATATCTTCAATGGTATCTTGTATTTGAAACTGAAGTACTTTTCGGTATTCATTCTTATTAAACATCTTTTCAATAATACCTTCTTGCCGATCTGAATTAATCGCTTTGTCAGAATTGTTTTTGTCATATTTGCCTTTAGATGATACAATATCTAACACTGTGTTAACAATTTGGCTTGCAATACCTTCAGGAACCACAATGTTATGAGTTAGGAAAGGACTTTCCCTTTCTTTGTCTAACTCGTGTTTGATTCTTTGTAAAATTTTTCTGGCCACTTCTGTTGCATACGTATTTAATTTATTTAAAGAGAGTTGAGATGAGCTGGACTTTTCTGATGCAATATGATCCACTGAGCAGCTAGAAAGTTGATCATCAGAATACAAATCATTGGCTAAAGTCCCTGGGACTGTGAAATTGATTTGGTGACAAAAAAGGGATTTTACTTTGTAGGTAGCAAAAGTTTCTAGATTTGTTAATATTGCCTGTACAATATCTTCAATTACATTTACTTTGACCTGTTGATTAACATTGAATCTGGACTGAACAGTAGTACATGGATTCTTGTCCAGCACAGTAACAGAGGACTTTTCTCCATAAGTGTGTTCATGAAAAGAAACATTTGCTGAAAAGGTGATGGTTTTATACCTGTTTTTACTTGCATTACCCTCTGTCATGGCAGCTAAATAAAGTTTATGAAATACAGTTCTAATAACATCATTTGCCACTGTGGTTACATCTGCTTCAGACACCAAAGGACCCATCATTTTATCTATAAATTGAATAGATGTTTGAGCAATTGGATCATCAGCGTTGTGAGGGATGCCACTTAAATGAGAGTGAGAGAGAGAAAGCACATTTAATTGATTGACCAAAGCACCTTGGAAAATTTCATTCAAAATATTTCTTATAATAGGAACAATTGGAGATTTCTGTGGTTCTTTGAGTTTCACTTCAATTTTGTTTAAGGTTCTTTCTAGAACCCATTGTTTAAGAGAATCTGATTTAGTTTCTTCTCTTAGCGATGTTCTCTCTCCAGTGAATTCTTTCTCTGTATGTGCAGCATCTTCTAGAAATGAATCTGATTCAGCTCCTCCAGGAAGAAAATTTCCATAGGTTGGCCTGTATCGATAAGCTTCAATACCTCTCTCTTCAGATTCAGTTTCATTAAACATATCTAAGGATACTGCATCTAAAATTAAATTGACTATATTCTTAAGCACTCGTTTCTCAGATGATGGGGTTTTTATATTTGTACACAAATCTAATGAGTTCATATTTAATTCTGTTTGAATAGCTTTCAAAATAGTATTTGCTACCTTCTTTGCATGCATGTATAAAGTAGACTGTAATAGTTCTTCATGTGTGTCTGTAAAAACACTGGAACTTTCACATTTTACATCCATCTTATTGCTTTTTTTATTTCCATCAGTAATAGAATCCAGAGTTTCTAAATTTCCATTGGCAAATCCTTCCAATTTAGCAAAAACTACATTAAGAATATCTGAAGCTACAGATTTCAGTTTATCTAAATGTATTTCTTTTGTGTTCCCTGTGTTTGCAGACACAGGAGCAGAAATTATTGCCTTGCTTTTACTTGCCGCTTTATTACCATCCTGAACCATCATCCTGGAAACTATGCTGGAGATTATGTCAGTGCATTTGGCCATTTCCTCAATAATCGAAGCAAATGATAGGTTGTCAATATCAAGAGGCTCCGAGACATCTTTATTTCCAGAACTTGCAAAACTGGTATCCATGTCAATACTACATAATTTTGCAAGTATATATTCCAAAATTGTTTTGGAAACGAGCTGAATATTAGAATGTAATTCAGTAGCTCTTTGCTTAGTCTCATTCATCTTCTCTCTGTTTAGCTTACTACAAGATGGATTACAGTCAGAATGAGCTCCTATGAGCTTACATAACATTTCATACAGTGTTTCTCCAATACTATCTAGTGCTTGCAATCTGATATTCTCTTTGAGATCTTTTCCTTTAAAGACACTATGGAGAGCACATGGAGTAGACAAATCGTCATGAAAAGATTTTTTATCCTGCCTACTTGGCAAAGTGTTTTGTTTTTCAATATTGTCAGATCGATAAGTTGTAGGCCTTGATTTATCTGAAGGGAGTAAAATACTGCTTTGATCTGAATGTCCACTTGACAACATTTCACAAATATAAGTTAATAATGGAGATGTCATGATGTCATCATTGAGACTTGAGACAAGTGATTCCAATTTATCAGTGTCAGCAAAAAATCCTTTACCTTTGAGGGATTTAGTGTGGTCTTCTCCCCAAAAGTTTAGGTCTTTCTTATTGAGTTCCAATTCATTCTGGATAGCACTCAAAACAATGTTTACTACTTTTGTTGTATAAGCACTAAGTTGAGATTGTAGCGAAGATTGCTCTGCAGGTGAAGGTTTGAAGCCAATTTGCAATTTTGGATAAATGAGTAATTTCAGCCTTTTAAAAACCGTATTAATGATCTTATCAGTAATGTCATCTATAGGTTTAGGTTTACTTTCTTCAGATTTTAGCAGGGAAGGTTTTGCAGGGTCTAAGTTGAGTGAAGATAAATATTTCACTTTCCTTTCACTGTCAAACCATATTTTTAATGGCTCTTTAATTGATGCTTCTTTGACCATGTGGGGAGTATCAGAACTATCGAGAGAAGTTTGATAAACTGATGAAGTGGAACTTTTGCTGGTATTGGGAATGCAGCTTGATGACTTATGAAGTATATTTAACACGGCATCCATTATTTCTTGAGCCACTGTATTAATTTCTGAGACAGAGAACATCTGGTCCATCCATTCTTGAGGTGACAGTCCTTGAGGTTTTTCTGAAACAAGAACTGAAGCTTCTTTGCCAGTTTTATGACCTAAATGACCAGGAGGAACAGAAGTTAGGTCCTTGAGCATTTCTATTAAAATACTTTTAACTATGTTTTCTGAAGCCTTTTGTATTTTATGCTTTTGGTCTTGGCTGAAAATTAAAATGTCTTTATCCAAACAGGGGTTTTTCTTTAAAATTTCTTTATTATCTAAAGATGGTAACTCAGTCTTTAATTCCTTATCACAAAATGCAACTTTGCTTCTTTGAGAAGGAGGCTTTATAGGTGGTTTGCTACTTCTTCCGGATTCAAAACAAGTGTTTCCTTTTGTAAACCAATGCTCAGGATTCTGTTCTTGTGATTTTACCTTTTCATCTTTAAAAGATGAATCAAGTACATTTTTCACAATTTTATCTATTTCTTCATTATCATCTTCAGAATAAAGGACCATACCAGGAACATTAATAGGTGAAAATGGTTTTCTAGACCTTGGACCACTAGATAATTTAGTACCAGTTAGTCTGTACTTTTCTTCAGTATCAGAAAGATTTCTCGGTTTAGAGTGTCTACATTTTTTAACATCTGCTTTTACTGGCTCTTGATGTAGCTGAGTGAAGATATCATCAAGTAGCTGAAGGAATGCTACTGTTTCTTCAGATGCAATAAGTCTCTCATTATTAAGTTCAGTTTGTACATATCCTAGTATAGTGCTGATTGCTTCCTCTATATAACCAACCAAAGTAGACTGGGAAAAAATATTTGATATTAGTTTTTGTATTTCTTCTTTAACAGCTAAATTAGTTTCATCGGGTTCAAGATTACATTTCTTTTTGTCAGCTTCTTTAAGGAATGTATATGTTGGGTCTGTCATATGGTGCTGATAGGAATGTTTAGTTGCCTCTTCGAGATGAGGAAGTTCATCTTGCTTACAAGATGCAAGAGTCATCAGCTTTTGTAAAATGGCATGCACCATATCCTCTGCAATATCACACATGGGTCCCATAGTATAAGGAATTGAAGCTTTTAAAGTTTTTCCAGTTGATGGAGTGAGATATTCTCCCTTGGGTGTTAAACTTGGTTTTGTATCGACTAACAAATCTTCTTGTGAAAACATTTCAACACATTTTTTTTCAACTGCAGAATGTAGCTTCTCAAGCATATTTTCCACTATCTCTGAAGCTACTGAGGAGATATCGACATTGGAGAGCAAGTCTCTTTTTTCAGGCTCATTTTGGTCAAGAAAAACTTCAGCAGTGACAGAAGAGATAGAGGGAATGGCCTGTGTTAAATCAGACATTATTTCTTGAAAAATTCTTTCTAAAATCAATTCAGTTTCCCCTTTTAAGTGACATTTAAAGTTAACAAAAATCTTCTTTAAATTCTTCATTTCACTCCTGGCTTTTTCTTTTTGATTAGAAAACTGTGGACTCTCTAAGCTTTCTGTTTCGGTGGTAGCATCCTTAGATTTTTTTGTGCTTGTTTCAAGCGATGCTAAAAGGTGACTATCAGATTTACAACTTCTGAGCTTAGGGTATGCATATATCATGTCGGTTTTATCATATTTGAGTTTAGATGTTATAATTTGTTCTTTCTTGTGATGCGGTTTTTCAACTGCTCTTTCCACATGGGCGGAAGGTGGTTTTAAATGTGTGGGTGGTTGCCTTACTGATATGTCAACTGCAAATGCACATGGCTCTCCCTGAAATGTTTTAGTTGTTGCAGATGTGTAACTTCCATATGTAAACTCTTCACTGCATGTGCTACAGAAACTTGAACTATCCGAAGAGAGGACAGAGTCATCAGACACCGGGTGTGCATTATTTTGTAACCTTTCTTCATACTTTGTGATGGCTGGGTATAATATACTGGTTACCGTAGCCACAACCCAGGTCATTATATTCTGAATTATATTATTCAGTTCTTCAGAAGTTACCTGGAAAGGAAGCAAGCAGGAACAAAAAGAAAATCATGTAACAACTTATTCTATTCTGGGACAGAAGGTAACATTTATTTTTTCAAATCAAACAATGCATAGCTGGATACCATCTGTTTAGAATTTCAGATTAATTTCAAGTCGGTTTATTCTGTAATACAGTAAAGTATTTTTATAGAAGTTGCCATTGATTCACATTCCTTTAGAAGTTTTTTTTCCCACCCCCCCCAACATTTATTGCTAAGATATAAGACTTTTTGATAAAAAAGAAAAAACATCATCAAATTGATGTCTAGAATCATAATGTATTTTGGCAAGAAGAAACAGTGTCTATGACCCAGTAAAATTATTTTAAAAATACAGTAGATTATTTCTAACAAAGCACTTCTCAAAATAGATACGGTTAAAACATTTGGGTACTTTGAGAGGCATCTGTCTAGCTAAAATGTAAGCATGGAAAATAAGCCATTTCTCCTCCCTATTCCCAGATGCAGTGATGAGCCTGTGATCTATATGTATGGGAATGACTATAGCTAATTGACAACAGTTAAAAATTATTTGAGAGGCAACAAAAAAGTTAATGCTTTGTGGAGATTGAATGGCTATGTATCCTTAGAGCATTGGGGTAAGCTGTCTTAGATAGGAAGGCTGAGAAAAGATAGTGCAGTGTAGGAACCAATTGGCTAGATGGAAAGTAAGGACCAAGCTAGAACTGTATCTTAAAGAGTCAGGAGGGCAGAGCAAGAGTATTGAAGCTAGAAAATTCCTTAATTGGAGCTGAAAATGAAAACCGAGGGACCAAATTTCCTTAGTGGTCAATAGTATTGTCACAGATTAAACTGGACCAAGAGTAAACACCGAATGCGTCTGTAGAATTCTACATACCTCTGCTTACTTACTGAAAATCTATTTTGGGCTTACAAAAATTCTGTTGCCTACAATAAACTAAGTAGTCTGTTTTAAAATTGTTATTACTCTTCAGACATAAAGGCTGTAAACAGTAATTGACAGCAAAGCCTATAAGATTGGTTTGTAGGTACCAGGGTAAACAATAGGATTCTTGTAATGGGGCTGTTCATATCTTGAATATTGTTTTAAGTTAGCATGGCATTATTCATGTTTCAGGCCAATGTTCAAAAAATATTAATACCTATGTAGTATACTCTCTTCTGACACATTTGAGAGTATTTGGGGGAAGCCCAGGGAAAGCCAATTTATTCTGCTTTAATCACCAAATCTCTTAAAGATATTTTTTTACTTACTGTATAGACAATTATACAACATATTTTGGATGACAACATATATTGTATAATACTTATATAATCACATCTTAAATCAAAAAAATTAAGAATAAAACCTCAATTCTAACATAGTTTTTGTTCTAATCTGATACTACACATATAAACTACAACATTCAATGTATATTATTTTTCTTATAATCAGAGATAATGAACAACAGACAATTATTCTTAGGCTAGGTGCGAGAAAATGTTTCCAACCTTGATATGTGAAAAAGAGATAGTTCTAAAGTTTTCTGTGTAGTGAAATATGGTATATAGAACCTACTTTTCAGTTGCTTTCCATTATAATATTAAACTGAGAAATATTCCCTTGCATCAAAGCTTTTATATTTGTGACAGTCTATAAGTTGAGCAGGTGTCCTTGTAAAAATGTATGTCAGAATATGTGCTAGTCTGACTAGATCCAGAGTTGGGACTTACAAATATAACCTCTTATCTGTCTGTTCCAAGTCTCAGCTCATAGGTGACCAGCTACCTTTTTATGTGACTTTCTTGGGTGACCAGGTCCCTCACTATGAAAATGGCTAGACCCAGGCATCCTAGCTCACCAGCCAAGTCTGCAACACCATGTCACTTAATGACTTCCTAGGATAGGATGGGTTTGTGGTATTTTATGCTTTTCTTATAATGGCTAGGTCCCTTAATTCCCCACTCTACCTTCTATTCCCATGAAGACTCCTTCCTGAATGGCCAACAATATCTTTTGATAAGAACTTTATACCCCTGCAAAATCTAAGAAATAACTAAAAGTAAAAGTTAAAGAAGAAAAGAGCAAAGAGTGACTAATATCAATAGATGACTACTCATTATTTGACACACAGATTTTTTCTATTATGACACATTAGAAAGTATCATTAATATGTTGCTTTATCAATGGATTTTAGATACATACTTTTTCTTGCAAGCAATTTTGTAGAAGATTTTGTTGTCTGTAAAGTCAGGAAAAGTTGATATATAGTTATTATATAGAGTCAAGATATTCATTATTACTTAGGGTCAAGAATTTAATTTTCCAAAATTTATAATCATTAAATCAGTTTCTTCTTTTTATATCTGAGAATTTTTCTACGGAAATTCAAAAGGACGAATAAACTTCATTTTGGTTCAACTCCTCCACCCACCCATTCTTTACTGACTCACATGCTTTATTACTCAGAGGAGTAGAATTGTAGCTATTGCAAAAAAAACATATCTATTTGATAATTCTATTTCTGACCAACCTTATCCATGCTTGCTTTGTGGGGCCCTGAGGAAGGCGTAGAATTGGAGGGAGAGGGTGGGCTAGTCCTTTCTGTCTTCTGAAAGACATGAGGTAGCAAGGCATCTGACCAGAGCTTTCTGATAATCCTTTACTTAACTCAAATCCCACAGTCCCACCCACAGTCTCATCATATAGTAGGAAAGGAATATGGATGGTTATTCAACTATAGTTAAAATCAGCTTTCTAGCCATTTTCAATACTAATTGACGTGTAGTCCTTTTCTATGTATGACAAAAATCTCTCATGTGTTCTAATTAGAAGTATTTGTCATCACAAACTAATGATATAAAAAACATAGTTTTCTGAATTGTAACAAATAAAAGAACAACTCATTAATGAAAAATTATAGAATAACAAAACAGTTAATAAGATCCAAGACTGTATTTCTGATTTATTTTTATATATTTCAAATGTAAAGTATTTATTTTCATGCATTTCAACATGGGCCCTTTACTTATCTTCTTCCCACTTAAAAGAAAATTCACACTCCTTTTTCATGTTTTCTAGGACTGTACTTTACATTATAAAATTTGATTTTCCCAAAGCCTAAAATTCAATTATGAGAAACATTAAGGCTAAAAATTACATCCTAAATTTTGGTAGAAAAAGAAAACCTCACTGATTTCAGCTCAGAAGTTGGGCTTGATAGCAACAGTCCATACTTAGGCGAGTGTTTTTCCAGCATGGAAGCTTATGTCAGTTATGTGTTCACTATCTTTGGCTTCGCTTATTTTTTTAGAATCTGGTTTCTTAGGTTAACCTACTTTTAGATAGCCTGTAACCTAACTCTCCCATATTCATTTTTCTGTTCTCTTTACATTATAGTATAGGCATCAAATGGAACTCAAGAAGTCCAATGTTTTGATGGATACTTTTCTCCAATAGGCTCTTTTCCCCCAAGACATGCATATAGATCCAAACAAAGAGCAAAGACTTAAGAATAAAATTAACCAAATAACTGAGAAAGCTTCGGTGAAGACCACTGAAAAATAATCATAATAACCAGATTTAAAAAAATCAGTAAAACCAGTAGAGTAAGAAACTCCTCCATAAAAGTAATGGGTAAACTGGAAAAAAATAGTTATTTTCCTCATAATTTTATAAGAAATGTTTTTCTTAGAAAATTTTTTCATAGTTTTCAAATCCCTGAAA